TTTCAAAATATTTTTGGGAAGTAAAGTTTAATATTGTTAAAATTTTTTTGTTAATGATTTGAATTTGTACAATTCATGTATAAATATAATAGCTTATGTTCTAAAAAATAATCAAAATTTATTGATACAGTTATAATTTATGAAACTAAATTTCAGTTGCGTTTTATAAACTTAGGAAATCCTAAGTAATTATCAAATTGACTTATAAAGTTATTTATTATATTTAACATAACAGAAAATGTTACTGTTGATTTTTTTACAGGGAACTTTAACTAAATATTGAATTGCGAATAAATTTTTTTTTTATTATTATATAATTTTATTTTATTATNGCCTTTTAAAGATGTCGCAATTCAATAGTTTTACGCAATGTCTTCATTTAGTTGCGTTTTTCTCCGTTCTCAAAATCCGTTAAAAACATCAAATAATAAAAAAAAAAATTCTGACGACATATTATCATATATAGATAAAATGTAGTCCAGAATTGTAGAAAAGTCTAAGAATTTTATTCTTGAAATTTCATGAACTCGATGATAAAAAAAGTTTGAAAAAACAAAGGTTTAAAAAATCATTTGCTCTAAAGATTACGCCTTCACTGATATCTAAAAAAAAAAATTTTTTTTTAAATATGTTTTGCATATTGGCTTATAAAATATTTTACACGAGCGGTTTATTAACAATGTAAGATATAAAAGCTGAATTAATCATATTTCTTATTGAAAATGCATATTAACTAAATCCTCAAGGATTTATGCATTATCAAGACTTCATGTATCTGACAGAGCAATCAGATTGTTAAATGAAATCATTGATACGAACAAAAGGTTCCATTTTCTACAANAGTTAGTATGGCTTTTTCAAAATATTTTTGGAAAGTAAAGTTTATACATTGTTAAAAGTTTTTCGTTAATAATTTGAATTTATACAATTCATGAATAAAATATAATAGCTTATGTTCTAAAAAATAATCAAAATTTATTGAAATAGTTATAATTTATGAAACTAAATTTCAGTTGCATTTCATAAACTTAGGAAATCCTAAGTAATTATCAAATTGACTTATAAAGTTATTTATTATATTTAACACAACAGAAAATGTTATTGTTGATTTTTTTACAGGGAACTTTAACTAAATATTGAATTGCGATTAAAAATTTTTTATTTTTTTTATAAACTTGTATTAAAATGAGACCTTTTAAAGATGTCGCAATTCAATAGTTTTACGCAATGTCTTCATTTAGTTGCGTTTTTCTCCGTTCTCAAAATCCGTTAAAAACATCAAATAATAATAAAAAAAAATTCTGACGACATATTATCATATATAGATAAAATGTAGTCCAGAATTGTAGAAAAGTCTAAGAATTTTATTTTTGAAATTTCATGAACTCGATGATAAAAAAAGTTTGAAAAAACAAAGGTTTAAAAAATCATTTGCTCTAAAGATTACGCCTTCACTGATATCTAAANCTATCAAAAAAAAAAAAAAATTTTTTTTAACATGTTTTGCATATTGGCTTATAAAATATTTTTACTCGAGCGGTTTATTAACAATGTAAGATATAAAAGCTGAATTATTCATATTTCTTATTGAAAATGCATATTAACTAAATCCTCAAGGATTTGTGCATTATCAAGACTTCATGTATCTGACAGAGCAATCAGATTGTTAAATGAAATCATTGATACGAACAAAAGGTTCCATTTTCTACAAGTTTTATCCCCATCATTTCTCTGGTGTTTCTAGTTTAAGAAGATGTAAAATTTATGAAAAGTTCCATTTATCTCTTTTGTTGTTGTGTCGTAATATATGTACCGTAGTTGATAATAAATTCTATTTCCCTTTAATGTAAGAATTCAGTTCATTGTTCCTGTACAGAAAGGTGCAATAAAAGTTGTTATTGTAAATACTTGCCTCATTGTTTTTCTTTGCTAGTTGCGCTCACTCTGATCGGCCTCTAACGCAGCAATGTGAAAGTTCAATCTGTTGTGTGTTAAGGTGATTGTGGGTCCTCTCAGAGAAATTCCATCCAGCAGGTGATGTCATAACAATAGATTCATCAAAGGGGGAATCAAGTGCAGACTCCGTAATTTAAAGTAATGTCCATCACCAAACATTTCACGAAACTTTTAATACAAATTAACATCTGTTTCCGTGCATTTTTTATGAATTTATCCATTGCTACTTAACCATTTCATATGATTTTTATTTTTTTAAAATCTGATATTTCATACAAATTTGTTTAATAGATATTATGTCGCAACTTACTAGTTTGGCAATAATATTTTCTTTAAATTAATATTTCTTTTAAAGTTGTCCTTTTTTCTGTTAATTGTAATTTATAATTATTTTTTGTTAAAATAGTAGACATAGTTACCTCGCATCGATCTTAATTGCAAATAGTCGCATTTTAGTTGCCATTACAGGATTTTTCTCTTCTCTCTTACAAAAATAAATCTAAAATTGCAAGGAAAACAATCAGAAATCAAATATAATATATATCTATATAATAAGTATTACAATATACAATATATGATAAGTATTTCAAAGCTCACAAGTTCGAAAATTCGCAAGAACAGTTAGAAAGAGGGTAACTCAAAAGAGATGGATTAAATTCTCAATACATTTTTGATTTTTGTCTGATAGGTTAACAAAAATTTGGTTGGTTAACAATTTTCTAAAAAATTTTAAAGTTTAAAGGGAAAATTCTTATTCGTAGTTTCTTGGTTAAAAATAAAATCAAATACTATTTCCGTATTTTTTTAGCGGATGGAATAACTATTAAAAAAAAGGCTATTGTTTAGAGTAAAAATTTAATCGTGTTTTCTAGGTCAAAATAAGCTAAAACTCCTTTTGGTCATATTTTTTGGGTGGAAAGATTAACGATTTTTTTTTAATTTTGTTTTGGGGAAAAAATTCAGACATTTAAAAAAATTTTTCTAACATTTTCGTTGTAACCTTGTCTTGGTGGATGCTCGAACGCAAAAACGCAAGATAGTGAAAGCAAGAAAGTGATTGCATGAAAAATGATTAAGTAAAAAATTATTACGTAAAAGTGATTACGTAAAGGGAGTTTACGTAAAAAGTGATTAAGCAAAATGTTTACTCAAAAAATGCTTACTTAAAAAATGTTGACATAAAAAAATTATTACTTGAAAAAATGATTAGCAGAGTCGAAATCGAAATATTGGGTTCAAATCTAGACATAATCTTTGGGTCCGTGCTTCCTTATTTTGTACCATCTGATTTTTTGAGTGAATTTTTGAGTGATTTTTTTGAAATATTACTTTGTATTGAGCGCACCAGNATAGAGCGTTCGCTTTCCAATAAGGCGAACCTGGTTCGAATTCCAGTCGATACGAATCCCGCATCCGGCTTCCACCGACCACAATGCTGACGTGAAATATCCTCAGTGGTAGACGGATCATGGGTTAGAGTCCCTTTGCCATCTGGCTAATAGTGGGAGGTTCTTGCTGTCTTCTTCTCCATGTGACGCGAATGCGGGGTAGCTCCATCCCGAAGACAAATTTCTCCCAATACTCGATCCAGGAGTTCCTTGTCTTCTGGATTGGGCTAAAAATTACAAGGCTACAGAGTTGAACATTAGTAGTCGTAAATCCATAAAGTTGGGTAGGCTGTTCAACGACGGTTATAAAATAAAATTTAAGCTTAAACAAAAAAAAAAAAAAAAAAAAACTCCGGATCCGAACCATTGCGAAATAAGACCATTGAGATCTCCAAAGTCTTTAATCGACGTCACAAACAGTAGTTGTTAACCAACAATTTTAAATATTTGTTATTGAACTTCGTTTTTCCGTCGGTTATGCTATATCATCGTATAAATAATATTGTATTTATACATGTGCAGTACCGAAATGTAAAAGTTTTTGTAAGAATGGGCCTAATGTTTTAGATTACAAATTATCCGTTAATAAGGAGTTAAGACAAAAATGGAATCATTCGATTCTGTCGTATGTCTGTTAAGGCAGAGGCGTGCGATTGTTCTTCATCTCTTTTTATAGAATCTCATTTTATTAAGAAAAATTATATTGTAGTAGATTGAAATGCGATTCTAGTAACTATTTTGATTTTGTTTATTCTCTGAATTCAACTTGCTTATATATCTTTGTATTTACATATTTTTATTAACCGTTTTTCAATTGTGTTATGTTTCCCGTTAGTTTTTTATTTTTAATCTTATTCTGATTTATTATAGTAGACTAGTCAATTACTAGTCATGAAAAAGTCATTGAAGTAATATGTGTTATAATTAGGGTTGCAAGTTTGTCAGGGAGTGAATTTTCATGCTCATTTCCATGATTTATTATTCTTAAATCCAGAAATCTTTTGAAGTGCTGTGATTTTTGCAAAAATTGTTTAAACAGAGAAGTTTCTTCACCTCATTCTAATTCAACAACACTAATTCTAACAACTATTACTACTTCTCTGCAGCTTTAAAAGTGATAATTCTTTATTCATAAAATGTTTAGGAAAATAGATCAATAGCAATTTCACATGAAAATAGTTCAGAGATAGTTCAAATCTTATTAAGCTTACTATCTTTTCTGTTGCTTACTATCTTTTCAATTGTCAATTAATAAAAGCAACATGCCCTCCAAATAGTGCAATAAGCTCTTACTTTACCAAAAATGAATTGAAATGACAATTAACTGAGTGAGGAGGTAACACAGGCTATATGGCTGGGACTGTGAAATTTATAAAAACTTTCCACCAAAAAACGTATAGAAATGTTAGCAAACAAATATTTGAAGAATGAAAAAACATATCAAGAATAATTTAGCAATTTGCAATATTTATATGAATAAATTTAACGTTACATAAAACTAAATTAAATTAAATCGAACAATTTTTTACATGCTTATAATTGTATTCCTCGGAAATTTCTAAATTTTATGTGAAATTTGACGACAAACTTGCAATCCTAATTATAATCAATTTAAAAACACATATAATTCATTGTTAAATGATCAAAATAAATTCTTGATCTTTAAGAATTCGTGAATCAATTTTTCAGCAAGCTGGTTTTTAGTATTTGTGTTTTGGATGTCATGTTGTCCTATTTGTTTATTTCTTAATTAAAAGTTAAAAACTCATTATAAATTATTGACAAATATATTTCATTTATATGCATAATACAGTAGACCCTCAGTTATCCAACACCTCTTTCAACGCTTGTTAAACTATATTGCATTCTAGCTGATGTATTGTTTCTATTTAGTCATTAAACTCATTAATTACTACCATGATCATAATTCTGAAAAACTCCTAGGAAATGACCAAAAAAAATTGAGAATGACTTATTTTTTAATGCTATTGTGTCATAGGATTATTTTATTTATGACAGAAAAAAAAAATGCGGGTAAGACAGACATAGGATTATTCAAAGTTTCTAAATTTTAGAAGAGAGAAAATGCTATATTAACTATTGATTTTTTTAAATAATATTTCTACATTATTTTGCTATTTTACTCTAATATGATTTTACTCTCCTTATTTTTATTCTCTGCTGCCAACTCTCCTGAATTTTCTAGTAGTCTACTGGATTTTGGCCAGTTTCTCCTTGTCTACTGGTTTAAAAAAATTCTCCTGGTTTTTGTACAATTCCCTAAAATTGAGTAAGTTTCCTAAAAGAAATCCCTATTAAAATAGCATTTTTGCACTGCTTGCTGCTTGCTTGAATATTTAAATATGTATTACTGATACATTATGAAGCGAGCCTCATTTATACTAATCAATTTAAAACTTTTTTCGTATTAAGATGTACTGTTATTTTATTTATTCTGAACTCCCTTTTTCAATTAAAAGACTTCTAATTTTCTTTGAGTAATTAAATGCCTACTACTATTCAAAATTGTGTGTAAACATAATACATAGCATTTTAAGTTCATCTAATGTCAATCCTAGTTGGGCAATATTATAGTGTTTCTATTTTGATGACGTTAAAGATCCCTAAAATTCCCTATGTGTAAAATATTTAGTACATAATGCCATAATTATCATGAAATGTATGTTATTTCATAAAATCTACTGGATTGTTTCCTATCCATGTTGGCACCTCTGTTAATCATGATTTTTTAAGAAAAACTTTTGTTAGACTCTCAATTTGTAGATAAAGTAAAAAAAAAAAAACTTTAAACAAGTATCTAAATAATTTAAATATTTGCTTTTTGTAAAAAATAGTTTCACATGCTTTTTTATTGTGTTTTCATTATTTGAATTCATAGGTATTTTTAAACTTTTTGTTTTTTTCCTACTCCCATGCCTGATAAGGGATTATATTATCATTGCTCAATTATGCTTTGAGTAATTTTACTCACACTAATAAAATTGACATAAAAAGGTCAAAAAAGGATTTCAATTTTCCAACATACCCCTAGTTCCCTGGGTGTTGTATAAGAAGGGTTCTACTCTAATATTTTGAAGTGTCTTCCCATTGTATTTCAAAATTTATTTTGTTTTTGCCAAAAATATGTGAAAANTCCCCTGGGTGTTGTATAATTCGGGTCTATTATTTATCATTGCATTTTGAAGTGTCTTCCCATTGTATTTCAAAAGTTATTTTGTTTTTGCCAAAAATATGTGAAAATAATTTTATTTCCTGGTCGCTAAGTTTCAATAAAATAAATGACTCTTCCTAATCTGATTCTAATTTATTAGGTTAATTTTGGAGTTGAATAATTTAAATAAAGTAAAAATTGTTTTAAAAATTATTCTATTAAAACGATCATGATAATCAGAGTTTATAACATACCTAATTTTGAAAATTTTCCAATTAAACTTTCTTTTTTTATATTAGATTAAAATGAATGAAAAAGTACTATTATATATTAATTCCAATTAAAATCTGATCAATTACTAGCCTTCATACAGTCGTAAGGCATTTTAT